GGGGGGGGGGGGGAATCACGGCCCGAAGTGATGAGGGCCTTTGGTAACGGGCATGAAAATAAGTAATTAGACAGAAGACACGAGTCAAAAGAAAACAAAATCAAATGTTTTGCAGTGTCACTGAGAAATGAGAAGAATGAAACTAATGACAAAAGATAGGAAGAAGGAGAATGAAATTAATTGAATTCCTTCAACGGATATTTATTGGCACCTACTATCCCAGGTACAGTGATGAGGTGAGAGCGAGTTTATAAACGACGAGTACAGAGTGACCTCCGCATGTCCAGAAGGCATCTGGACACAGAGGACGAGGGTTCCGGGAGAGGACGGACCAGGAAGAGTTGAGAAAGATTAAGCAGAGCGAGGAAGGGGCGGCGACACCGAGCTGCAGGGCATAAGCATGGGAGGGAAGTGGTGGCAGAGAAGACAGGGAAGGAATGAGCTAAGCGTTTGGGAAAACAGCATGATATTGTCACTGTCTAGAAACAAAAAGGGAAAGATCCAAGAAGCAGCCCACCACATGCATCGTCCACAAAAAGGTCACGGGACAATTTATTAAAAGGAGAAAGGTCGTTGGTGGAAAAAGGTCCCTCAAAAGACCTTTCACTTTCAGAAAAGCCTAGATGGAACACGGATTACTGAAGTCAAATGTTCTTACAGGAAAGCATGTCTGATTTAAAGGCCTTTGGGCAAAAGGATTCCATTTATCATCACGCTTCTTAAACTGGGGTATCTGATGCCACAGGGTAGATCTTTATGTTGTATCAGTTTTATTTGGGGGAAAATAAATTGAAGCAGAAGAATGCAAAATTTGCAGGCATGGTTAAGACAAACCATTATTTATTACCTTAATAGAATCCTGATAATTACAGACTTCTACAGTTTAAGAGAAAACCAATTTTAAGAATAATCAAAATAAACCAGCTTCTTTCCTAAATGTTTGGATTTCTAAACTAAAAATTACCTTATATAGTAAATAGCTTTCAATACTCTACATTATATCATCTGAAATTACCTCTTGAGGCCAAAAAAAAGCTAATGCGATACCAAACCTGGAAGGCATAATTACAGCTCTTTTGAGTATTTTATTCAGCCTATGTTGTGGCTTTCACAACTGCAGGGACATGCTTTCACTTCTTAACATCTCCTACTTTTTGTAGACTTTTTGTAGTGATGCTGAGGCTCAACCCCAGGGTCCCATGTGTGCTAGGCAAGTGCTCTACCACTGAGCTACACCCCCAGCTCCTTTCTTCAAAAGCTCTACTTTGTCCAAAGGTAGATAGCAAATGAATCTATGTCTCTAGCAGAATGAGGTGTGTGGAATATAAAGAACAAAAAGCTCCCCAAATAATTAAATTTAAAACTAATTTAATTTAGTATGCTATCATTTTATGATGCACTATAGGTGTGAATGTTAATATTCAATTAAATATGGATTTAAAGATTCGGGGCTGAATAAACTGGCAGTCTAGGATATGAATAACTGCTCTTGCTATGTACTAAATCGTCACCATTTCATTGCATATTTAGGCTACACAAAAGACACTGACAGAATGACAGTACTTTAATTCATCACGTATACCCAGCAATGTTTGCATAGTCAGATGCCCGTCTACCTGTTAAAGTCATTTAAGGGCAGGTTTATAAAACTTCAAGAACAAAAACTGGGTATGTTTCAATCTATGTAACTGCCAAGGAAAACACACCAAAGACATTTTAAGAATTCCTGCCCGTTCTGTCTCCTGTATTTTATGGGCCCCTGGGAAGTCATTTTTCCTAGCACTGGATATTTTGCCAACCCAGAAGAAATATAATCAACCACAAAGGTATAAACTTCCAAATTAATTAAATTCATTATTTTTGATTTGAAATGTGAAACAAATCCAGTCTGAGCTCTCCCTTTAATATTCAAGTGAATAGAAAGAGCCACTGTAAAAGCAGATGTGTTAATGTTTACACAATGGCAATATTTTTCCTTGTCTTTTTTTCCCTCCCTTTAAAGTTTTAATGGTTGAATGACCTTGCTGGAATTCCCCTGTCCGCTCTGGAGTATCTATTTGGAACTTTCAAATAGAAACTACATTCACATGACACATTAGAATGGTAGGCCAAGTGCTATCTATCTCTGTACCTTGAACTCTCTGTGTTAGTTCACAGATGAATCAATAAACTTTACACAAAATGAAAGCTTTGTTTTTCTCTCTAAGGTTATTTAAGAGAGGATCAAATTTAAATGTATCTGGCATTTTATATTCACACGGTCAGGTATACACAGAAAAACTGTACATTTTTGCCCAATTCAAGAAATTATCTTTGCTATAACTTTAAGCTATCAGAGATGGGCTTATTTTCAAGTCTTTTGAACAGTGAATGGTATCATGCTAAAGTGGGAATCTGAGTCCACATTTGACTCGTGTTACCTTACCTGCCTTAGAAATCTAAATAATATAAATCCTTTATTGCTTTTGCTTTATTTCAGAATTGCTAGAACATCTATTTTCACGGAGAGAAATTATTCGGATGTCTTGTGAAAAGGCTCATGAGAAACCTGCCCTTCCCCACATGATCCGGTTATGAAAACAGCCGTGAACCCCTGAAAATCCATGGGTTACGGAGGACAGTGAGGACAATTCTGAGCAGAAACAAAACAGCCCATCTAACCACACCTCTAGTTTCACCCTGGGCATTTCACTCCTTCATTTTCAGAAGGTTAAAGTACAGTAAGTGTTGCCCAGTCATCTGCTGACTTTCAAAAACTGTTATAGGGCTGAAAACACGAATAACATTTCGCAGTCTGAGTTTCTACAGAATATATTGGTGTTTCAGACATTGTTTTTTTTTTTTTTTTTTTTTCCGGTACTGGGAATTGAACTCACGACCTTGCGCTTGCCAGGCAGGCACTGTGCCGCTGAGCTAAATCCCCAGGCCCTGTTTCAGACATTGAGAGACGGGGAAGAATAGAGTATCAGGGGACTGAGACATGGAGCTCCCAGGACCACGAAGTAGGTTAAGTCACTTGCCGAGGGCCAAACGGTGAACAGGGCAACCTGGCTCTGAGTCCCAGTGTGTGACTGAGGCGGGGAGCAAACAGGACTCTGAAGTAACTACTTGATAGGAAAGAAGCAGGTAGCTGCACTTTGGGATGATACGCAGGGAAAAGAAAGCAAATGGTTAGTCAAAGGGATAAGCCACTATACTCCGAGATAAGGAAGCAAGATGAGACTAATCTCCACCCCCTAGGAGACCTTTTCAAAAACCCACCAGCACTCGGGAGGCTGAGGCAGGAGGATCGTTGCGAGTTCGAGACCAGCCTGGGCTACAAAGTGAGCTCAAGGCCAGTCTGAACTCCATAGTGAGACCCTGTCTCAAAATGACAAAATAAATAAATAAATTTAAAAAAAAAAACCCACCAATGATTCATATTATTCCTTTGAGACCCCACAAAAGTGCAATGGCTCTGCCTGGCTCTGTGTGGCGCTGTCTGGGGAACCGCCGATGGAACAGCTGGCTTGGCTTCTTAACTAAGCTTCTCTGCAGCAGCCAGCTGTGTTTCCTTCCTATAATAAATTTTCTTTTTATTTTCACGGTAGACCTACTAACGGATGATTTCCACCTTAAACAACAGCCCGCACTAGCTGAGGACAGGGATGGCGGTGTAGCTTCGACGACGTAGATGCTTGCCTAGCATGTGTGGGGCTCTGCTTCCAATACCCAGCATGGCAAAAACAGACAACAAAAACAGAGTATAAGGGACAATTTAGCAGCAGGCACATTGCTTTTTAAAATGCTTTCTCCTAGACCATCTCAGTGCACTTTTATAATACTGGCTGGAATATTATACTTTTTTGAAGGAAAAATTTCAAACCAGCAGTGTTAAATAAAAATTACAGAAGGTCATTATTTTGGGCTAAACTCCTGCCCCAACAAAAAATAAAAACGAAGTCACCCATGCTTAAATCCCATTTCACCAAGTAAACACTAAACTGTTTTCCTGACCTGAGAAATCAGGATTAGAGAGATGGCCATATCTTCCAAAAATACTAGTTTCGACTGGCAGAATAATGCAGTTCCCTCTGTATTATTTAATTTTTACCCAAAAAATGTAACCTGAAGGAACCTAATGTTGGCCAATTAGCTATTTTTCTATTGTTTCATCTCGCTGTCCCCGTCCTGCAATGAAAGTAACTTTGAAATGACAAGTTTGCCTTGGTTTCTTGTTTCTTCGGGGCCTTTTGTTTGTAAAACTAACGTCTGCCCAGCTCATCAGAACGTATTCTATTTTATGGAATGAAGTGTTGCCAGATTCTAGAATAGAAAATAAAGCCAATTAAGATCTTTGGACTGTTGCAATTTTGTCCTTTGACAAGCGCAACGTCACAGTAATTGCAGGGCTGAAGTAAAGGCCTGGTCACTGTCCTCTCCTGCCCACACTCACAACGTTGCCCTCCCTACTGCCTCCAACATGGGAAGGAGCAGCAAATTGGGTACAAACTCCAAATATGACCGTAACTCTCATTTCTCAAATAAAGCTGGAATCAAAATCGGAGGTTGAAAGGAAGAAAAAATAGATAACCAGATTGTTTTCTCCCGAGGACTTTGCTTCTATTATTCTTGCATACACTCACCTACTTAGCAAAAAGAAAAAAAAAAAAACAAAAAAAAACTTCTTGAAATTAGCAAGATATTTAATATCAATGCCCTTTTCATCCTAAAATACTTTGTTGTTTCCTTCCTGTGGTGTTGTGAAATACATGTATTTGGTCTTCATCTCATGGCATATAATTCCTAACATGGTTAGAACCTTCAAAGCGGTAAATATGCTTTTGTTTGCTAATGAGCTGGCTGATGGCTAGGAACCCCTAGGGGACTTCAGGATGGGAGCTGGTCAGTGGAGAGGGAAGGCAGAGTAAGAAGGTTGGGAGGACGAGCACCGTCCTACGACTCCCCAGGAGGGGAGAAAGTTGTAGGTTAAATGGGCCAGGGATGTAATCTGGAGTGCCCGTGTAAGGAATCACTCAAAAACCCCAAAGGGACAGTTTTCTGAGAGCTCTGGACAGCTGAACACATGGAGTGGCCCAGAGGCTCCTTGACCCTTCCCTCATGCCCTCCTCAAAGCATCTCATCTGTATCCTTGGTAACAGAAGCAGTTCCTTGAGTGGTATAAGCTGCTTTAGCATGCAAAGAGAGGGTGTGAGAGCTTTGATTTATAGCCAGTGCTCAGAAGTAGGTAAAACATTTACATCTGATCTTCTCTTAAACAGCCTACAGGTGGCATCTGAAATTGGGGTACAGTCGTGGGGACTGAGCCTTCAACCAATGGGATCTGATGCTATCTCGATAGTGTAAGAACCGAACAGAACTAGAAGACACTGAAGTGTTTTTGTTTTTTTTCCGGTACCGGGAACCAAACTCACGACCTTGAGCTTGCCAGGCAGGCGCTGTGCCGCTAAGCTAAATCCCCAGCCCTGACACCTAAGTGTTGTCTACTGCAGAACTGATTGCTTGGTGTGTGGGGAACCCTCTACCCCCATATTTGGTCACAAAAGTCATCTGAATTGACTGCTGTTGAGCAAGTGTATAAGAGAAACTGAATTTGAATTTGCTTTTTCTATTCACATTCTTGTTTTATTTTCATTTTGGTTCCTTTAGCCAGGATCTTACTATGTAGGCCAGGCTGGCCTTGAACTCACTATGCCGCCTAGGCCGGCCTTGAACTAGCAGCTAGCTTTCTGCCTCAGTCTCCCAAGTGCTGGGATGACAGGTGTATGCCACCACACCTGGCATTCTATTCACACTCTTTAAAGCTATATAATATAAAGATGGCTCCAAGGATATTAATTTAAAATGTTGGCATCTGGAGGGGTGAGGAGTAGAATTTCAAGAACATCTCTTCTTTTATGTTTCATATATTTTGGCCCAAATATATTTATAACCAAAAAATTCTAATAAAGTGATTTTCCATGCAAAGATTTTTATGTGAAGTTATCTGTTAAGAAGTAACTCTCAAATACAAAATCAAGAAACATTTTGATTTCTATGACACAATTACATTTCTCGAGGAAGGAAAAATGTACTTAGTCCCTTTCCCCCTAGTCTTTCTCTTATTGACCTACTATACCCTAGCGAATCACAAATTGATTATCTTCTGCTTAGATTTCTCTCTTTTCCTTTTCTTTTTTTTTTCCCCCTGGTACCAAGAATCGAACTCACGACCTTGTGCTTGCCAGGAAGGTGCTATGCTGCTGAGCTAAATCCCCAGCTCGATTTCTCTCTTTTCTTTTCTGTGGTTAGTGTTGAAATATCTTAACCAAAGAAAAATAATAGTAATATGTAGTAAACTAAACGCTCCTGGATCTGATTCACTCCACTTCACCCTTCTGAGAAACAGTGTTTCTTGCCAACGCATTCTGCTGCCTTACCCCAGGAACTCATGTCCAAAACAGGGACATTGCCATAGCACTGTGATCTATCGTATAGTAATTAACAAGCCGAACGAGGTCACTTCTCTTTATTTAGAGGTTGGATACCACAGAGAGAAGTAGAAAAACTAGGCAAGCAGGAGCTGCCTAACTCTCCAAAGAACTTTCCAGCTTCAGTCCACAAGTAACTTCCACATTCTCCTCTTTATTAACTCAGTCACCATTCCGAATTTTTTATTTATCTTAGAGAAGTACCATTTTCATGGAAATGTCAGAGATGCTTTTGAAACCTGTTTTACTCAATTTTTTCTAATCTTCAATTTCCTTATTAGTTTTGTTTATGAAATTCACAAAGTTTACCCATATGTCTCATTAAGGTTTTACATTCATATGCTTTCAAATTTACTTTCTCTCGTTGCTTTACACATTGCCAGGAGCTTTTCTCGGAGAGCTGTACTACCCATTCCTGCTTTGTTCAAAAGAGTGTCTTGTACTGATTATTTGCATAGAATTCTATAATTTACTTGCATCAAGATACTTTAGATTTCAGCACAGTGCATTTCTTCCATAGATATTCCTCATGTAATTAATGTGTTAATTTATTTAGAAGTATCTTGATTGTATTTTATCTTCTTCCTGGAGTAGTACAAACTGGGCAAAGTCTGCATTGTATAAATGACTTCTCCACTGGGTAATTTTCTACCACAGTCTTGTCAATCCTTCCTGTCCCTGCAGATGCTACAACACCTTACAAAATCCTGTTGGGAGGGGCTGGGGATTTAGCTCAGCGGCAAAAGCGCCTGCCTAGCAAGCGCAAGGTCGTGAGTTCGGTTCCCGGTACCGGAGAAAAACCAAAAAAACAAAATCCTGTTGGGGACAGAGCCAGAGGGTGATCCCCACTCTCTGCGCCCGGTCTCCTCCGCATGATCCTTGAAATGCACATGCAGGTACAGATCCTCAGCAGCACAGCCAGAGATAAAATTAGAAAGGAGACTTGAGCTTTTCATCTTCCATCTACATCTCAGACACAGAAAAGCAGCTGTGGTTCTGAAGGGTCACACGGCTCAACTGGAGGAATATACAAGTAAATGCCCTTCTCGTTGGCCTGTAGCCTGTAGCAGACAGTCAACATTCAGAGTAACCGGGGAGAAAGAACTTCATATGCAAAAACAGAATTCAAAAATCCTATGGTTTCCCCAGTCCCTGAAATTACTTGTGACACTAGGGACACAGTGGTTATTTACTCACTGTCTTTCTAAATAATACTTAGCCTCTTACAAGGGCAATAAATTTTACAACTTGTACTCAATATTATTTTTGGGATGGATCCATGTTGATACAAGAAGGGCTACAATTAAGTGTTGAATTTTATTTCAATGAATGAATAATCCAGCAAAGTTTATTCACCGTCTCTTCTCTTGATGG